TGACGATGGACGATGACGACGGAGACACGCGGATAGCAGGGGCAGATACGCGAAGAGGGAGGACGAGGGAGGGGGCCGGAAGGAATGACGCGGGGCGGTGTCTCTTCAAAACGAAGAACCAACACTGCAATATGGTAGGAAATTTCTGGACGACCCCCCCCCGTGGCGCGGTCAACGTCCGCGACAGCATCGCTGGCACTACGAACGAAATGATCGAATTCTTCCTGCGACGTTACCCGCTGGGTGGATCAGCCAGGAATGGGGGTCGAAACCGCCCCAGCGCAAAGCAAATGTACAATCCTGAGAAACCCCAGCCCACATCAACCGATCCGCAACAAGCACGCAAGCCTTTGACGACCCCAACGCACGTGACATCGCATAACGCGACGCGCCATCGAAAACGTTCGACGCGCGGCCTCGGAATGACATCGGGCTTCATGGAACGTCGAATGGAAAACATGAAAAACCGCCCTGTGGGCTCCGAGACCCAAAATTACTGATGTGAAGGATTTCGGCTCGTCGAGCCACCGCCTTCCCCCGACTCCCGCCTTCCCTCCTCCACCTCCTTTTTTCAACGCGACTCTCATTGCCTCGGAAGTTCAGCGGGGGCTCCAGCACAACCGTGAAAACGACGCGGCGCGTCTCCAATCCGAAACGAGTCCCTGAAACGGGCAACGGGCGCGGAGCGGCAGGCCGAGAGGCCACAGCGGCCGACGCCTCCTGGAGGCAGCGCCCACCGCCGCCGCCTTCCCCCGACTCCCGCCTCCCCTCCCCTGCCTCCGCCCCCTTCCGCGGACCCTCCGCCGGCAGAGCCGCAGGCGCCTTGCTTCCGCCGCCGCCCGCCGAGGAGGAGGGGGAGGAGGAGGAGGAGGAGGAGGAGGAGGAGGAGGAGGAGGGGGAGGAGGAGGAGGAGGAGGAGGAGGAGGAGGAGGAGGAGGAGGAGGAGGTGGAGGAGGAGGAGGGGGAGGAAGAGGAGGAGGAGGGGAAGGAGGAGGAGGGGGAGGAGGAGGAGCGCCCACCGCCACCGCCTTCCCCCGACTCCCGCCCTCCCTCCCCTGCCTCCGCCCCCTTCCGCGGACCCTCCGCCGGCAGATCCGCCCTCGCCGTTGCTTCCGCCGCCGCCCGCCGAGGAGGAGGAGGAGGAGGAGGAGGAGGAGGAGGAGGAGGAGGAGTGCGAAGGAGAGAGGAGGAGGAGGAGGAGGAGGGGCGAGGAGGAGGAGGAGGAGAGGAGGAGGAGGAGGAGGAGGAGGGAGGAGGAGGAGGAGGAGGAGGAGGAGGAGGAGGAGGAGTGCGGAGGAGGAGGAGGAGGAGTGCGGAGGAGGAGGAGGAGGAGGAGGGGCGGAGGAGGAGGAGGAGGAGGAGGAGGAGGAGGAGGAGGAGGGGGAGGAGGAGGAGGAGGAGGAGGAGGAGGAGGAGGAGGAGGAGGAGGAGGAGGAGGAGGAGGAGGAGGAGGCGCAGCAAGAGAGACCAGCCTCACTGATTCATCGCAGGCGGGGCCCCTGCACGGATCCCCGCCAAGGCACGTGCATGCCCCGCCGTGTCGAAGCCGGCTGGGCAGAGCAGGGCCCGCCCTTGGGCAGCGCCCCGGGCCAGGCGCTGGAGCGGCGGCGAGGCGCTGCCGCACCGCGCGGTCGCACAGTTGCGAGCCATGCCGTTCGTAGACCACCAGGGAACCAGAAGTGCACGTGGCTGGATTCCTACTCGGAGCCTCCAGATTACGTTTAAGTCGGGCGTGCCCCCCTACAGGGGGATTTTCGACGAAAAATAAAACATACAACCAAAACAAAACCCAACAAGGTAAACAAATAGTAAAAAACATAGTCCCCAGACTTTTTTTTTGTTTTACTATTTTTGAATATTCCCCCTGTAGAGGGACAAACCCGACGTAAGATTACATGCGCTGGACGCGCATGCGGAAGCCTGGCACACCTGGCCGCAGAGTGGCCGAGCGCCGGAGGGGACAGCCGGCCGTGCGGTGCGTCCAGCTCCGGCCCAGGCCAGCTGCAGCATGTGCAGCCAGCTTCCTGGTACGCTTTGCCGGGGAGCGAACTGTCGCAGCAACCAAGGGAGGAGTCTCGACAGCTGCAGAACACGTGGCGCTGCAAACCTCGCCCAAGCTGCCTCTACCCTCCCCCTCTGCCCGCTTTCCCCCTCTCCCTCTCTTCCCACTGCCCCCTCCTCTCGCCCAAGCTGCCTCTACCTTCCCCTCTGCCCGCTTTCCCCCTCTCCCTCTCTTCCCACTGCCCGCGCCTCTCTCCACCTTCCCCCTCCGCGCCCATGGGCCTTCGGTGGCTTGCGCCCTCCAAATTCCCACTGCCAAATCCCTACTGGTTCAGGTCTGCCGCCTCGCCTCGACCGTGCTGCTCGCCGCACCTTCAGCCTTCGAGCCCCATTCGCCCGATCCTCGTGGAGGACGATCAATGGAGAGGGAGCACGCTGCCAAATAATTTCCAGATGTCTAAAACAAGTGTTAAACATGATGTAAGCATGTAAAAAACATGGGTCAAACATGTTTAGAACCTTTCTTTCCGACATTTGAAACACATTCCAGATTCAATGATAGCACTGTTTGGGTGTCCATTGCCGTGGCATCCACAACCCCATCCCCATGCGCAGCCCCACCCCGGCGCGCCCGGCCGACCCACGCGCGATGGGGCCGGCAGCAGCAGCCCCCCAAAAAGCACGGCCGACAGCTCAGCCACCTCCGCGCGCGACACGTCGGGGCGCCCACCAGCGCCCCCCTATAGGGCCCCGGTGCACCGCGTGCGAGGTGTCCCCGGATCTCTGACGATAGGAACGGTTCAGTCCTGGTGTTGCTCCTCGATCTCGGCCTCCGAGGCCCCTTTACCGGGCCCCAGGGCAACCAAAGAAGGATCCGGGAAGGGGTCGTGGAGCTCTGGGGCCGCGACTCGCAACAAACAGAATAGCCTGGCGAAGGACCCAACCATATGCTATTGTGGGTAAGTGCCGCAGTTGTGAGCCCCGCCTTCGGTGGAGCTCCCTGTGGGGCCACGAAGCGCGTGAGGGGTGTGCCGAAATTGGTGCTATGGCGCCATACCAACTTTGCCATTGAGGCCTTCGATGGAGCTCCCTGTGGGGCCACGAAACATGTGAGGGGTGTGCCGAAATGGAGCGGGGCCGCCATGCGAACTTTGCCACTCGGGCCTTCGGTGGAGCTCCCCATGGGGCCACGAAGCGTGTGATGGGTGCGCCGAAATGGGGCGGGGCCGCCATGCGAACTTTGCCCCTCGGGCCTTGGGTGGGGCTCCTCATGAGGCCACGAAACGTGTGAGGGGTCCGCCGAAATGGGGCGGGGCCGCCATGCGAACTTTGACACTGGGGCCTTCGGTGGGGCTCCCTATGGGGCCACGAAACGTATGAGGGGTGCGCCGACATGGGGCGGGGCTGCCATGCGAGCTTTGACACTGGGGCCTTCGGTGGGGTTCCCTACGGGGCCACGAAGCGTGTGAGGGGTGCGCCGAAATGGGGCGGGGCCGCCATGCGAACCTTGCCTCTTGGGCCTTCAGTGGAGCTCCTTATGGGGCCACAGAACGTGTGAGGGGTATGCCGAAATGGGTGCGGTGCGGGGGAGGAGGGAGGAGGAGGAGGAGGAGGTGGTGGAGGAGGAGGAGGAGGAGAAGGAGGAGGAGGAGGAGGAGGAGGAGGAGGAGGAGGAGAAGGAGGAGGAGAAGGAGGAGGAGAGGTGGGACGCGGGGCGCTGTCTCTTCAAAACGAGGACCCAACACCACAGGATGGTTGGGGAAAAACCTTTCGTCGGATGTTTGGGTTGGCGCCCCTGCGGCGGAAATGCAGATGAGAGACGCGCGGGCGGCAAACGGATCAAGACCGCGCAAGCACGAAGGAAGCGCAGCGGGAGGCCAGAAACGTGGAGAGAAAATTACGGCAGACGGCCACGCAGGAAGCATCGGCTTGGCGCTTAGTGACAGCTACACGCACGCGCTTGCAGAGCCAGCCATGGCAGAATGGCACTTTGAAGGTTCGAAAAATGATAGAGGGGGCGCTTCCTCGACCAAAAAGGGCTGCGCCACCGAGACCTCTCGGCCACACTCTGTCTGTAGGCTTGCCTGTGTATGGGGGGGCATAATACTATCTGCCGATTCTACTCGCGGTGCACTCACGCATCGCAACGAACACCTACGATCGAGACCGCGCGAGATTCCATTGCAAGTGCGCAGGGCTCGAGCCCACCTGGGCTCCGGCAAACCATCGGCGGGCCTTCTTCTTCAATGTCTACAGCATGACTTACCGAAGACGACGTGGACCCGAGACCCCAAACATTGACTACTCGTAAGGAGCCGAACTCTATACACCGACGCTTTTTCCGGCCCCGCACTGAAATGCGCACAGGAGAGCGGATCCTGGTATATACATCTTTTGATGTCCCCCCCGGGAAATGGGACAACAAGTATACACCACACCACCCCGACGTCGTCCCCGACCCTCAAAAAGGTCTGGGATTGAAAAAAGCCCGCCACTGGTAATGTGTATGCTCCAGCTTCCGAACTCGGTTCAGTCTCACCCCCTCGCCCTCGACACCCACCAACACGCTCAACCTCACACGCCTCCCCCCCCTTCGACCGCGACAGCTACGAGCAGGCCCCTTGCAAGATCCGCGAGCGAGCTCCTGCCCCGCTCAGGACCGAGGCCGTCCACGGCGACAACCGACAGAGGCCACATGCAACGCAGACGAGCGCAGTGACGCAGCAACGACGCAACAGCCGATCCGAACCGAACCGACCGAGGGCGACTGACTGCGACGCAGCCGAACCGACCGAACCGCGGACGCCCTTGGGGACCATTCCCTGAGCAAGGCTGCGTTCGGGCTCCGGGACAATCAGACAGTCCAGTCTGGAAAAATGATGCAACGGGACGGGTCCCAGAGGTCCAGTGACCCCGCTATTGACAAAAACAGGGCATCGGAAGTCTGGATGTCCCACCTCCTCGTCCTCATCATGCTCCTGGTGTTTCACCCAGTGGGCCTGGATCGACTCGAAGTTCTCTGTGCGCTGGGTCTTCGTCTCCTTGCGGCAGCAAATTTGCCCGCACCACACACAGCAGCGCTCCCTCGATGGCATACCTTTGGATGCCTGGACCGCATGGCGCATCTCCATGCCAAAAAAGAGGATGCACCTTCCACGAAACACATCTTGATACCACATCGCGACCTTTCTTCAGACAGGCCGCCGCCGTCATCGAAAATCATGTGAGATCTTGCGTGGCTGTCATACAAGTTTGTACGTGTGCGCTGGTGCACACGCACACACACACACACACATATATATATAGAGAGAGAGAGAGAGAGAAATCGCATGGCCGCGATACTTAATTACACAAGCACCGTATCAGTCGCTGATGCATGAGCCCTCGTCCAGAGTCTAGAAGACCCCATGGCACAATGACATGAAACTTACTTGTGCTCGAACGCCGATGCCGTATCGTTCTGGCCATCTCGCAACTGTTTCAAGGAACCACTCATCCTGCAGAGGGAAGACGACGCAGCACCAAATCATCCTTCGAGGCATCATCCAGAGGATAACCACACTGTGCCATATTAAAACAAAATCAACATAAAGTGCGGGCAACCGACAATTCATGTTCAGGCTGACCGTTATTCTTAACTTGTTCTCTGCTGCGCCCTTGAAGCATCACTTCAGCATAACCTATCGGTGCAGCCGTCGCCCTGCTATATACAGAAGCTGTGCACGGATCGAATGATCTAAGGAAGGGCCCCGAAAGCCAGAGCCCCTCCTCCTGTGCCCAACGTGGTCCTTATCTCAGCGCCCTGCCTGTCATACAGCAACTCGGTGATCTTCTGACCCATGTCAATCCAGACCCGGGTCAATCATACCTTTCAAACCCTGCAAAATCCTGCACCCAAAAACCACGGTCAGTGCGAAAGATCCCGCAACATCGTGCAGGATCCTGCGCCCAAACCCGGGTCAATGCGACCCTGGCACTGCAGGTGAGGAGGAGGAGGAGGCGGAGGAGGAGGAGGAGGAGGAGGAGCTGGAGGAGGAGGAGGAGGGGGAGGGGGGGGGGGAGGAGGAGGATCCTGCAAGATCGGGCGCTCTCTGACTGACCCCCGTTGGCACTGGCCCCCGTACCGCAAGGCTCCCGAGCAACAGCAGCACGCTGAAAGGGGCCGGGAGGGGCAGCCGAGGCAGATATCCCCCCCCCCCCGCGTGGAGAGGCCGCGGGGAGGCAAAAACCCTCCAAGAGGTGGCGCGGAGCGGCTGCGATCCCGGCTGTTCCCTGTCTCCTCTCCTCCTCCTCCTCCTCCTCCTCCCTCCTCTCTCCTTCCCTCCTTCCTCCTCCTCCTCCTCCTCCTCCCTCCTCCTCCTCCTCCTCCTCTCCTCCTCCTCCTCCTCCTCCTCCTCCTCCTCCCCCCCCCTCGGTTTGCCTCCTCGGTCTGACTCGACGAGCGCGCTCCCCTGCTCGCAGAATGGCCACTCGCAAACGGCCCGGATCCGCCGCGGGGGAGTCACGGCACGTTACACAGAGGAATGCATTTTATCTGTCTGGACGCTTGCGAGGAGGCATTTTGCGAGTGGCGGAGGGCGCCCAGTGACTGATGGCAGCGATGGGTCAGCAATCGATGACAGCGCGGAACAATGGACAAGCCCAAAGCCTTCAAACGCACAGACTTGCAGTCGACCTAACTCGCGTCTCTGAGCTCCGCGGAAAACTACGCAAACTCACTCGAAAAGAAGAGGACTTTGGCTGATCTCAGTCTGGCCCGTTGTGGGATAATGCCGGCATGAGGGAGGGAGGGGGGGAGGAGGGAGGAAGTTGTCGGGCACCATCCTCGGGGCGCTTGGGAATGTGCTGTCAGCTCTGTCCAGCGTGCGCTGCCCACTCTGGGCCGCGGCCGAGTTAATTTACACACCAGACAAGCAATGAACAAGAAGAGAGCGGCTGCGGAGAATGGCGACAGGAGAGGGGCACGCTCAGAACATGAGACACATCACATGTAGTGCTGTGAGCCTCGAGCTCCACGTCGCGAAGTTTGGCAAAAATTGGGCCATTGGGGGTCGATCCCATCCTAGTGGCCGATGTCTCGTCACGCGAATCCTTTGTTTGACGGACGTGCCAATGCCACGTAAGGGCCCCCCCAGGAGCCTGAAAGTTGTCCGAAAACATCGGGGGCGATGCTTCTCGCGATGCCAAAGGGGTTTGGCTAGGCATGGGGGAGTCGAGGCTCGGAGAACAAGAACATGCCGATACCACTATACTCCACAGACCTCTCCTGGAGTGTCTTTCGGGTCTGGCGAAAGGGGGGGATAGCAAAGGGGGGGGTTGAGAATCAGCTCACGTAGCTGATTTTCCCAGCGCCTCCCAGCGCCGGAGGCGGCTATGTATCGAGGAATGGGCCCCTCGGTGAGGCCGAAACCAGCTGCATGCAGCAAAATTCGTAACCCCCCCTTTCCCAATCCCCCCCTTTCGTCCGGCCCGAGTCTTTGAGAAGAGAGAAGAGAGCCAACGGGAACGATGGCCCGAAACGCCATGCAGAAAGACTGCCCGCGCCAATTCAGCAGGCTGGCCGTCCCGCTAGCGCAGCCGGACCCGAGGCGGATCTCCAACCGTGGCGACGAGGGACGGGCAGCGCTGTTGGTGCCGCTTCCTCCCGGGAGGCGGAGGAGGAGGAGGAGGAGAAGGAGGAGGAGGAGGAGGGGGAGGAGGAGGAGGAGGAGGAGGAGGAGGAGGAGGAGGAGGAGGGAAGGGGAGGGGGAGGAGGAGGAGGAGGGGGAGGGGGAGGAGGAGGGGGGAGGGGGAGGAGGAGGAGGAGGAGAGGAGGAGGAGGAGGAGGAGGAGGAGGAGGAGGAGGAGGAGGAGGAGGAGGAGGAGGAGGAGGAGGAGGAGGAGGAGGAGGAGGAGGGGGGGGGTAACGGTGCGTCCTTGTCGATGTTGACGCGCACCGACAGCTTGGCCTTAAGCTTGACCCACTCGGTGATCTCCTGCCACATGTGGTCCTCGTTCTCCTGGGTCTCCTGGCGGCGGCCACTGAGCCCCGGGGCGTTCATGCGGGTGTGCAGGCTGATGGGCCTGTTTTCCACCACCACCACCATAAGTTGGAGGGGGGAAAGAGGAGGAGGACGAGGAGGAGGACGAGGAGGATGACGAGGAGGACCCCCTCCCCCTCCAACTTATGGTGGTGGTGGTGGAAAACAGGCCCATCACAGGCTGCGCGCTGGAAGCTGCGAGGCGCAACTCCTGAGTGGGCCTCTGCGCGCGGCTGCCTCCCAGGGCTCGAGTAAGCATCCCGCCTGCCCCCACACAGTATTCGGCCTGACCCAAGGAACGGTAAATGAGGAGCGAAACCACTTTTTTCCCCAAGTAAGTCTAGGAAGTCCGACGGAACACCGGGGGGCTCGCCGCCAAAAAAGGTAGCGGAACGCGTGCAGACCAAAGGAACGGCCGAGCCCCTTTTGAAAAGCAAATGTTCCTTAGGCAAGCCGGACCCTGTACTGTCAGTACTGCGATTCTGCCGACGAAAGGGCTCGACCTACACGGTGCTGTTCGTTCTCGTGTTGTGCTTGCGTTCCCTCTCTCTCTCTCTTCGCTCCGCATTCGCTGCAGAACGACAACGAAACGCGATCATGCCCGCGATGGTGATGGCGGTGGAGCTTCCAGTCAAGGTACTACCAGAAGGAACGCCAAATGAGGAACGAAGCCCCTCTGGGGCCCAGAGCCGCCTGCGTGCACGAGGAGAGATCGAGGAGCAGCCACGGAAGGACAGGAGGAGCACCGAGGAATCTCCGAGCCCAAAGCGGTCCTTACTTCAGCGCCGTGGCCGTATAGTGATGACGATGACGGTGGCAATGATGACTTGAGCAGGGACCGACCGTCCAGGCATTCCTCTAGGCCTGACACGAAATTCTCTCAGAACCCCTAAATGTTCTGAGAACAAAAACAATGTTCTTAGAACATAAATCCGATGCGTTTTGAAAGACGACAGTCCCAGCCAGAAATGTTCTAGAGTGGGCCTCGGACTCAGCGGGACTAAACCGGACTAAGCGGGATTAAGCGGGATTAAGCCGGATTAAGCAGGATTAATCCAGATTGAACCGGCTTTCGGACCAGGCAAGATCAGAATTTGACCTCCCAGGAGTTGCATCCGAATACAGCGAAGCCTGTCCCAACTGCAAGGATGGGCACATAGTGGCGCAACGCTCGGTGCGTGTTCTAGACGAGACCTTCTTGCAGATGATGGATGTCGTTGTCTCCAGGGATGCTGAATCAACCTCTGGCGTATCTTGGAAACCGTGTCTGCAAGGTCGTAGCACCATCTGTTCTGCGGTCGGCATTGTAGTCCTCTTCCTCGGTTAGCCTCCGAACACTGTCGACGACATCGACGACGGAGACCTCTGGAAGCCTCGGGCAGCCTCCGAAGACCGTCGAAGAGCCCTTGGGGCAACAGCAACGACGGCGGCGAAGACTCTACTCTGGGCGCGCTCCGGTCCGCGCCACGGCGGAGAGGGGGAGGTGAAGGGGTGACCGTCCTGCTCCCTCTGCCTTGTTCAGGGGGCCACATGCGAACCCTACCCCTACCCCCCACGATCTCTGAGGGGGAGGGTGGGGTTCGCATGTGGTCCCCTATTGTTGTCCTTCTTGCTCGTTGGGGTGGTGGTGGTGGTGGTGGTGGTGGTGGTGGTGGTGGTGGTGGTGGCGGTGGAGTGCGGCAAACGTTCTGCGAGCTCCGCAGCCAGCCCCGCGAGCTCGAGGCTGCACTGCCTGTCGGCCGCGAGCCCCCCGACGCGCCCAGCCTGCCCACGCGCGAGGCGAGGAGCGGCTCAGGGGGGGGAAGCATCGACCTCCCCTCGCTCCTCCTCCTCCTCCTCCTCCTCCTTTCCCCTCCCCATCCTCCTCCTCCTCCTCCTCCTCCTCCTCATCCTCCTCCTCCTCCTCTTCCTCCTCATCCTCTTCCTCCCCCCAGTGATCCTGGAATTCTGGAGCCCAGCGCGCACAGTGGAGCTTGATTGGAGAGGACGCGCGGGAGGACCCAGGACCCTTCCACGGGCCGCACTGCCACACGAATGTAACATGCAGGGGGCGCAGACCACAGGACGCAAGAGTACCCTTGATTTGGCAGCGTGGACCCACGAATCTTAAGTCGGGCCTGTCCTCCTGCAGGGGGATTTTGGACGAACAATAACAAATAGTAGCAACAAATCCCAAACGGTTTAAAATTATGCAAAAAAAAAAAAAACGTCTCCAGGCTACTTGTTTGACTACTTTTGAATTTTCCTCCTGTAGAGGGACAAGCACGACTTAACACTAATCGAACTCGACTGTAGAGTACCCTTCGGGTCATGCCACAAAGGCATCCGTGACATACACGTGGCGAAAGCTAAAGCAGGCGAGAGGAGCAGCATCAAGACAGAGACTGGGGACTCACCGCCGTGGTGGGCGCCACAGGGGGGGAGAACATAGACCTGCAATCGGCGGCGAGCGAGGGTGGGGGGGGGGCAATGAGACGGAAAAGGCCTTCGCAGGAGGCGGCGGGACTTCTCAGGAGCACTCGCGCCCTCTCAAGAGTTGCCTGTGTCTCCGGGGAAGGCTCAGAAAACTTCGCAGAGGGCTTGGGGACTTCCCGAGCATTCCGAGAAGTCCCGCCCCTTCTCACTTCCCCCCTGGGCGCGCCGCCGACTGGAATCGGCGACACGTTTAGGTCGGGCATGTCCTCTTACAGAGGGGTTTTGGACAACAAATGAAAAACATACTCCCAAAATATCCCAACATGATAAACAATACTCAGAAATTCATCCCCAGACTATTTCAAAAACTATGTCTGAATATTTCTCCTGTAGAGGGACAGGCCCGACTTAACGGCACATGGCGGGCCGACAGGTCGGCGAGAGGCCGCCGAGGGCGAACCCGCACACGGGGAGCCGCCCGTGCGGACTCCTGTAGAGAGGTGGTCGACCGTGTGAGCGTGTTTTTTCTTTAAAACGAAATACTAAAATAAATCGGCGTTCCGACACTGGGCGGCAAGGGGGGGGGGGCGAAAAGGGGGGACCTGGCTTTAGGTCGGGCGCGTCCTCCTAATTACAGGCGGATTCTGGACGACAAACAAAAATAGTCCAAAGAATCAAAAGATACTCCAACATATTTAAAGCAAAATCGTCCCCAGACGACTTTCTTGCTGTCGCTCGGACGTCCATTTCCCGTATATTTTTCAGTTTCGTGCGTGTTTTTTTTAGCTCGATGCTCCAGGATGGTCCTCGATGGTTCTCGCCGGGAAAAAATGCACACGTCCGAGCGATGCCGAGCTTTTCAACTATTATTGCATATTCCTCCTGTAGAGGGACACGCCCGCCGCAAATCCGGCTCCCGCCCTCTGCTTCGTGCGACTGCGTGGGGCCGTGCGTCCTCTGGGGGAGAGGTTCCGGCCGCTCGCAACGGGCGTCAAGAGACAGCCAGGATCCACTCCAGGGGGCGGGGGAGGAGGGAGCGGGGGAGGGGCCCGCGCCGATCGGCAAGACGACGCATGACAAATCGATCACACTCCCTCCCCTTCTGCGCACGTTTTTCTGCGCTTCTGCCCACGCGCCCTTCCGCCCACACGCCCTTCCGGCAACAACAATGGCGCACGCTTCTGCCCACACGGCCGTCCGAAAATCCGGCTCAGTGGCGGCAGTGGTGCCCAAGAAGAGCCGTGCCACGGCTGCATGGCTTCTGCACTGCTCTGTACACAAACTTTTCTGTGCCAGTGCGCCGCGCGAGCGCCAGGCTTGACTGACTGCCTGACTCCCCCGTGCACCTGCTCCCCCCGAGCGTCGCCCATGGCGTTCGGGCCACGCCGCGGCCCTGGCGGCGGCAGACGGCGGGACGCCCTCGGCGCGGCGCAGCTGCTGGACCGCACCCCGAGGCCGGAACGCGGAGCCTCGAGCCTCGAGCAAGTCCCAAGTCGGGCGCGTCCCCCCCCCACAGGGGGACTGCGGACGAAACATAGAAAATAGCCGAACCAGATTCCAAAACAGCCAAGGATAGTCAAAACATCGTCCCCGGACTGTTGTTTCCTATGTTTGAGCATTCCTCCTGTAGAGAGACAAGCCCGGCTTAAAGCCGGTCTCTCCCGGAGCCTGTCCCCTCCTGAAGGTTGCGCCTGGGTCACGACGCCCCTCCCCGAAACAAGAAGGCTCCCTCGCCCTCGCTGGACCCCCCCGTGGACTCCCCGTGGGGACCCCTCACGAGTCTCGAAGACGCCCCAAGCCGTTCCAAATCTGATCGATACTCGACCCTCCCTCCCGCTAGATCCTCGACCTCCTGGAGGAGGAGGAGGAGGAGGAGAAGGAGAAGGAGGAGGAGGAGGAGGAGGAGGAGGAGGAGGTGGTGACCCCCCCCCTGACTCGAGATCCGCCGTACTTCCGGCGATTTCGCAAAACACCCGCCATACTTCTCAAGCTCCTTTGATATCCATTTCCGCCCTGTATACCTCTGCGGACGGATCCGGTGGCACTTTCGGCCCCGACGCCTTCGCAGCGTCTGGCGTGCACTTCCCACGCCACTTGAGGTGGGAGCATCAACCCACGTGCGGCGGCTGCGAAGTCGGGAGGAGGAGGAGGCGGAGGAGGAGGAGGAGGAGGAGGAGGAGGAGGAGGGGGAGGGGGGGGGGGAGGAGGCAGGAGGAGAAGGAGGAGGAGGAGAGGAGGAGGAGGGGAGGAGGAGGAGGAGGAGGAGGAGGAGGAGGAGGAGGAGGAGGAGGAGGAGGAGGAGGAGGAGGGGGAGGAGGAGGAGGAGGAGGCGGAGGAGGAGGAGGAGGGGCGGAGGAGGGAGGAGGAGGAGGAGGAGGGGGAGGAGGAGGAGGAGGAGAGGAGGAGGAGGCAGGAGGAGGAGGAGGAGGAGGAGGGAGGCCCCCCTGGTGGAGACCCCGCCCGCACCGCCCCCCGCGAGGACTCCTTCGCCATCACGGCGAAAGCTGCTGGCCGCCTCCCGCTCCGTGGCGTCCACGGCCTCCTGCTCCTGCGGCGTGCCCCTCCCTCGGCGCCTCCCCCCTCCCCACCCCCCCCCCCCCCCCCCCCCCCCCCCCCCCCCCCCCCCCCTCCCCCTCCCCCCCCTCCCCCTCCTCCTCCTCCTCCTCCTCCTCCTCCTCCTCCTCCTCCTCCTCCTCCTCCTCCTCCCTCGGCGCTTCTGGCGGCGAGGCCCCCGACGCACCGGACGACATCGGCGGGGAGCGGAAGTGTCTGGCCCTCCTCGGCCTAAGCCGGGGGCGCGTAAGACTCGGGTTCGGGGGGCACGGGCGGGCCTCACGGGGCAGTCGAGAAACCAGCGAGACCCGGTCTGACATTTGACGCGAACTTCCGCCGCAAGCTTCCGGCGGGCCCGCCAACAAGCGTCGACAAACCAGAGCTCCGGCGAACTCGAGTCGTGCGTTCCCCCGATCAACGCGGAGGCAAGAACGGAGCAGCATCGGACCAAGACACATCGGGGACCTCTGAGATCGGGCGGTTCCGAAGAATGTATCGGGCGCCTCGGCCGTTCTGGAACGCTCTGGAACGCTCCGAGAGCGTTCCAGCACGCCTTGCGGCGATCTATCCTACAAGCCTTGTCAAAAATAGACAGAAATGGAACTTGAAATCATGGAGCACGATGCTTTCGGGCGCTTGTCAGAAAGCGCGTTCTTCAGTGCTGAGGGCGGGGTCGGTTTTTGGACAACACCGCGTCCCAGCCAACATGCATCCGTCAGCATTGGAGTAGCACAGACCCCACAATCACCGAATTCAGAAGTCTTCTGTTTGTTTTTGACGAGGCTTGTCGGTGTGACGTCAGGACGAAGCTTCTTCGTCGTCTTCGACTCACGATATTGTGCGTTTTGCATATTCCTACTTCTGTCTGGGCCTCCTCGTCGCCACGGCGGAATTTCTTGTCACTTCTGGCCGGGATGCACCCCGGGAGAGGGTCTACGCTCCCTTCGGCACCTGTCTGGGGGGTCCAATAGGGCGGCGTCCAGGAGAGAAATCCACACATCATCGCCCGAGGCGTGCGCGGGGACGAGGGGCAGACCCGGGCACGCATAGAACGCAGAAGCGGGGGCCAGGAAGTCCGGGGAGCCTTCAGGACCCCAGCTGGCCATCGCTCGGACGTCCATTCCGTGTGTTCTTTTCGGTTTCGTGCGTGGTTTCTTCGCCAATTGATCAAGGATGCTCCTCGATGGTCCTCGCCGAAGGAAAAATGCACACGTCCGAGCGATGCCAAGCCAGCGGGGATGCCCACCGCCTCGTCATCGCACCCCTCCCTGTCCGCCCCCCGATCTTCGGCATCGGGGTGTCCTCGATGGGCGCCGTGGTCGAAGATGGCCCAGAAAGCGACCCGAGATGAAAGAGCTGCGCTCGGGGGAGGGCCCAAGCAGCTTGAGGTCGGGCATGCCCCCCTACGGGCGGATTCTGGGCGAAACAAGAAAACCCCCAAAATACCCCAAAATAATCAAAAACATGTTTTAAACATCGTCCCCAGACTGCTTTCTGACCACTTCTGAGTATTCCTCCTGTTGAGGGACAGGCCAGACTTACAAGTAGCTCCCACGCCGAATCAGCGGAGGGCGGGAAGGGAGAGTCGGCTCCACATTGCTCCCAACCGTGGTTCGGCCAGAGCGGATCGGAGGGCATCAGCTGACCTCCGATAGCGCGATATTCCTGCTTCGGCGTCAATGGCCGTCGTCGACACCGGGGCCGTCGCCGTCGTCAACGGTTCCCCGAGGCTACCGGACATTTCTCGGATGCTCCTGGAGGTTCTCGTCGCCGTCGTCGTTGTGGTCGCCACCGCCGACGTCGTCGTCGAGGATCGAACTTCCACGACCGAGGATCGAGGGCGTAAGTTTGGGGCGATTTCCTGCGCTTTCGGCGAGAATCTCCTCGAAAATCACATCGAAACGTACCGCAGGAAAGACCGGGGGGCAGATTTTTGATAGGTGGTCGTCCTCGTCGTCGTCGTCTTCGTCGTCGTCGTCGACGCGGTCGCCACTACCAACGATCTCGTCGTCGTCGTTGTCGTCGGCTTCCTTGTACTCTCATTTCTAAAAAACTGACTGTCGATCCCCCCATTCCGTGCCCCTTGTGTTTTTCAACTGAAGTGCCTCTGCCAGGGCTCACACCCTGTGTTTCGAGCGGGAGCCTCGTCGGCGAGTGAATCGCGAGAACGTCTCGAGCGGGAGCTTCTCCTCATGGAGCCCGCACTTCACGTTATCACTTCGAGCAGGTCCTTTGCCTACTGCGGCAGGCGTGGCACTTGAGCACCCAACGGAGGCAGACGTGAGGACGCCTCGAGCGGGGGCTTCGTCGGCGAGTGCGTCGCGAGAGCGTCTCGAGCGGGAGCACCCTCCTTGTGTTAAGTCGGGCCTGTCCCCCTACAGGGGGATTTTGGACGAAAAATTTAAAAAATGCCCCCAAAATACCCCCAAATGGTTAGAACATATTTTTAAAAAAATAGACCCCAGACTATGCTTTGACTATTTTGGAACAGTCCTCCTGTAGAGGGACACGCCCGACTGAATCCTCGCGTGCCCCCGCGCCATGTTGTGTTCCATCCGAGCGGGCCGCTGGCTCCTTGCAGCAGGGTTAACGCTTGAGCATCTCACGATCATCAACAGCATCATTATAATCATCATCATCATCATCATCACCACCACCACCACCACCATCATCATCATCATCATCATCATCATCATCATCATCATCAGCATTATCATCAGCATTATCATCAGCAGCAGCAGCAGCAGCAGCATCAGCATCAGCATCATCAGCAGCAGCAGCAGCAGTATCATCATCATCGGCACACGAGGATGTCTAGAGCGGGAGCCCCGTTTGTGAGTTAACAGCGGCAAAAGTCTCGAGCGGGAGCTCCCTCCCCACGGGGTCCCCGCTCGATGCCTGCAGTCCGAGCGGGCCGCCGGCGTCATTGCGGCAGGCGCACTGCGCTTCGGCACCCCCAGGGGGGGGGCAGAGCGTGAGGATGCCTCGAGCGGGAGGCTTCGTCTGCATGTGAATCGCGGAGAAGTCTCGAGCGGGAGCCCCCTTCCCAATGGGGCCCACACTTGAATGAATAGATCTATATATATATATATATATATATATATATGTGTGTTTAACCAGAGCGGTCTTGTATGAGTTTATACAAGCACACAGGCTGTCGCGCGATAATTGCCGCGATTCTTGTCCGTGAGTCAATCGTGCTCACGTCGATTCCATGCCGATGCGCCGTCGCGTGGCGCCTGGCTTGTGACTGACTGAACCAGAGCGGGTCATCGGCGTAATACCAAGCATAGCACCTGAGCAGCCCAAGGTGGCAGACCGTGAGGATGTCTCGAGCGGAGGGCTTCGTCTGTGAGCGAATCGTGGGGAGGCCTCGAGCAGGACCAGCAGAGGGCAGCAGAGTGCAACAGACACCGGCAGAAAGCAGCGCCCGATAGCAGCAGAGGCAGCAACAGAGAGCAGCACAGAGCAGCGGAGACCAGCAGAGGCCGGCAGGGAGCAGCAGAGACCAGCAGAGGCAGGCAGAGAGCGGCAGGGACCGGCAGAGGCCGCAGCAGAGCACGGCGGAGCAAAGAGCGGAGCCCAGCAGACGCCCGCCAGTGGAGAGCAGCAGAGCGCGGCAGAGAGAGAGCAGCAAAAAGAGCGGCAGAGAGCAGCAGAGAGCAGCAGAGGGCAGCAGAGAGCAGCCAGAATCTGGGGGAGGTGGCGGAGAACAGGCAGGAGGGCGAGGACGGGGCAACGGAGGGAGCCGGGGGGGGGGGGAAGGCCTGCGACGTGGGCGACAAAGCGAACGGCGCAGTGAGGAGACAGGAAGAGGGCTTCCGCTGCCGCAAGAGCGGCGAAGAGGATGGCATCCAGACTGATCGAGAAGATTCTCATGTGGGGTCCAGCCGTCGGAACACTTGCATCGGAAATGCTTGGGTCTCAACGTTGTGGCGCTGGCCCCCGAACTACTACAACAGAGGTTCCCGCTGGATACTTCATCCCGCTCTCGCGTGGGACCTCCTCACAGTTTTAAGCAGGAACTGCGCTCTCTTGTGGCCCTTCCTCGGCAACTACTGAAACGCCGTGCCCTCCACACCCAGGAATCTCACTCTATCTCTCTCTCTCTGTTTGGGCAGGGACCGACCGTCCCGGCATTCCCATAGTCCTACCACGGAATGTTCGCAGAACCGAAAAATGTTCTTAGAACAAAAACAATGTTCTTAGAACATACGCCCGATGTTTTTTGAACAAAGACAGACTCAGCCAGGAATGTTCTAAGAACATTTCGTGCAAACCACACAGAAATGTCTTGGAACGTTCCTTGCTGGGCCCATAGGCCAGCCGGGACGCTTCGCCGTTGCTCGATCTGTGGACTTCCTCAACACTTACAGGGCAGTTTTTAATACATGTCTTAAAAAACATTGTATTTTTTATTGCATGGTTCATTTATGAATAAATGTATGCATGAACTCATCGTTTTCGAATACTCCATCCCTGCATTTTTAATACATGCTCCGCACGCGGAGCATGTATATCAAACACGGCACTGTACCTGGAACTCGCGCTGTCGCCCGAGACCTCCTCGCGACCCGTGCGGGGCTGGCCCCTCCGCGACCCGCCCGCTCGACCTCGGCCGCCCGGGCCCCCCCGACCCGCCCCCCGCCCGGCCGGGTGCGCCCGGCCGACCCGCCTCGGGCTCCTCGCCCCTCGGGCTCCTCGCCCCCCCCTGCGCGTCTCTCTCTCTCTCTCTCGCGCTCCCTCCTTCTCCCTCCCTCCTGCCCCTTCACTCCAGGCCTCGGACAAAAATGGCGAACACTCACGCCACATTCATCTGTGTAAACGCCTCCCCCTCCCCCTCGCGTTCCATCCGGCAGAGGGAAAGAATTAGTGAGCACCCCCCCCTGCCCCCCAAGCTCGAGCTTGGCACGCGCGGGGGAGGCTGCGGTCGAGGTGCAACTCATCAGACCCACCGCCGACTTTGAACCTTGGGGGGAGAGGGAGGCGTTCACAGATGAATGTGGCATGAGTGTTCGCTATTTTTTTCCGAGGCCTGTCCTTCTCCCTCCCTCCTGCCCCTTCACTCCAGGCCTCGGACAAAAATGGCGAACACTCACGCCACATTCATCTGTGTAAACGCCTCCCCCTCCCCCTCGCGTTCCATCCGGCAGAGGGAAAGAATTAGTGAGCACCCCCCCCCTGCCCCCCAAGCTCGAGCTTGGCACGCGCGGGGGAGGCTGCGGTCGAGGTGCAACTCATCAGACCCACCGCCGACTTTGAACCTTGGGGGGAGAGGGAGGCGTTCACAGATGAATGTGGCATGAGTGTTCGCTATTTTTTTCCGAGGCCTGTCCTTCTCCCTCCCTCCTGCCCCTTCACTTCAGGCCTCGGACAAAAATGGCGAACACTCACGCCACATTCATCTGTGTAAACGCCTCCCCCTCCCCCTCGCGTTCCATCCGGCAGAGGGAAAGAATTAGTGAGCACCCCCCCCCTGCCCCCCAAGCTCGAGCTTGGCACGCGCGGGGGAGGCTGCGGTCGAGGTGCAACTCATCAGACCCACCGCCGACTTTGGACATTGGGGGGAGGGGGAGGCGTTCACAGATGAATGTGGCATGAATGCTCGCTATTTTTTTGCCGAGGCCTGTTCTTCTCCCTCCCTCCTGCCCCTTCACTCCAGGCCTCGGACAAAACAGGCGAACACTCACGCCACATTCGTCTGTGTTAACGCCTCCCCCTCCCCCGTGTTCAGAGCTGGCGGTGGATCTGACGAGCTGCGCCTCGACCGCTGTCTCCCCCGCGCGTGCCAACTTTGAACTTGGGGGGCAGGGGGGGGGTGTTCACTAACTGTTTCCCTCTGCCGTCCCTCCCTGCCCTGCCCGTGCTCTTTCCTTTCCTCCTCGCGATATCTGCCGCGTGTCCTGTCTCCCTCCTCCTCTCCCTGTCTTAGAAGAGGCTGTGCCAACTGCGCGTCGCGAATGAGGAAGACATGCCATGTGTCCCCCGTGTGGGTACAGGGCAGCTTCTAATACATAGGATTTTCAAACATATGGGATGTTTAAGTCATGACTAGTTTATGAACAATAAATTTATGCATGAACTCATCGTTGTTTTTAATACTAAATCCCCGCATTATTGGTACATGATGCGCACGCGGATCATGCATTAAAAACGGCACTGCAGGATCGATTACGAAGAAGGCGGGTATCGAGGGCTTGGGACGTGCGTGCCGATCGACGTGCGAGCAACTGAGGGCGAACGGTCCTGCAATGCAATGACTACTGTCGTCGTCGTCGAGTTGGGGCGGGGGCGAAAGGGGGCAATGCAGAAAATTGCTGTCAACGGGTCAACGGTAAAATGCCCGGCCGCGCCACCCGCACGCAGCAGATTATCCGCAAGTCCCCCCTTCCCCGCTCACCCTCCCGCTTCGTCCTGCCCGACAATCGGCGGTGGACAAACCACCGAACGGAGGAGGCGGACGACGACGTCGACCACGACGATGAGGACGAGGACGAGGAAGAGGAGGGGGAGGAAGAGCAGGAGGAGAAGAAGGAGGAGGAGGAGGAGGAGGGCGCCATCGACAAGGAACGTGAGGGCCACGAGGTCCGCCGGCTCGACGCCGAAACCGATGGACCTGGACCCGCAGAAGTGCCGGCCGCGGCGCCCCCTCGCGAACCGAACACGGCCGCGATCCGCTCATCGGCGCGTCGGGGCAGGAGGTCCGTCGACCTCTCCGAGACGAGGGGAGCCCGCCGGAGAGGCCGCGGACACCCGCCGGAGCGAGACGCCGGCTGCTGACAGAGCCCTGACTCCGGTTCCGCCCGACTTTGGCTTTTTTTCCAACTTAAAATTGCGTCGGAAATCCACCTATAAGAGGCCGAACAAGTAGGGCGGAAATTGCTGCACCCAACATAAAATAGGGCGGAAATCCACAGAAACAGCAACAGAAAAGTAGGGCGGAAATTGGCATCAGCGGGGCTTGAAAAGTAAGGCGGAAATTCCAAGTTCCACTTACGAATTTCCCCAAAGTAGGGCGGATCCGGAGTCAGGGAGGCGGCCCACGCGCGAGGGTGACCCTACAGGCAAGAGTGGCCTTTGCTTCGCGGCGGGCCGACCGTCGTGTGTTCTTTTTTTGTTGTCGTCACATGTAATGGGTCCTCCTCCTCCTCCTTCTCCTCCTCCTCCTCCTCCTCCTGCTCCTGCTCTTCCTCCTCCTCTTCCTCCTCCTCCTCCTCCTCCTCATCCAGCGCAGCGCAAAAGTGCTCACTCCAAGGAGCACGCTCGAGCGCAGCAGCTTTTCGTATATGACGCAGTCCAAAACAATTCCAGGCTCGACCCGAGAGATGGCTCCGCTTGGAGGGGTAGTGAACGCGATGATGGTGCAGGCGATGATGCGAACGCGGCTGGCCGGCCGTTGCATGCGGTGCGGCAGTGGCGGCCTGCGTGCCAGGGTTTGGAGACCCTGGCAATTCCAACCGGCCTCAATCGAGATTGAGGGTCCCGACACGTGGCGGTGACAGACCGTGCGGTGACCCAGGAGCACCCAGCAGACTCACCGCACGGTCTGCCACCGGATGGCTTTGGGAGCCTGGAGGCCCCAGTCGCCCGAGGCATCCTCGGGGAACGACCCAAATCCCAAGACAGTGCGGTCACCCCAAAGCCCCACCCACTCACCCGGTTGTGTGCTCACCGCACCGGCCTGACGCCTCGAAGACCAGAAGGGCGCCCGAAGTGCTGCCGCGGCTGCTCTAAGGCACACAAGCCAGACCCCCGACGTCATGAGTTTTTACATTACGTCGACCCCCGAAGTCTGAACCTATTCCCCGGGACCAGCTTTTCATCCCGAGTCGTTCTTTGAGGGCCCCGAGGCCCGGCAAGGGCCCCCAGGGGCCGAAAATGGCGAAGACCCTCCCGTCGTGATCTTTTCAATTTCTCGAGGGGTCTGGGAACATACGACGCAGTATTCACATAAAACCAAATCGGCATCTGAATTGCGAAGCCGACATTGAAGCGACGGCAGTGGACAGCGCGCGCCCACTGGGGCACGATCGCGGCACCGCGGCAAGGCCGGGTGGCCTCGAAGCCACAGGAGGCCCCACGTCGGGCTGCCACGCGACACGGGCACGAAGACCTGAGAGATGCGCACGCTCCGGGTGGAGTTGGGCACGTCCCTCTGCAGGAGGCATCTCCAAAACTAGTCAAAAAATAGCCCGGGGACGATTTCTTTGACTATTTTTGTCCATCTTGGAATCTGTTCTGGCCATTGTTTTTGTTGGTCGTCCAAAACCCGCCTGTCGGAGAACACGCCCGACCTAAGCTCAGGGCTCGCCTCAAACGGGAAAGGAGAGGAGGCCCCAGGCTCGCCGCCCAGGGGGGGCGCTGCGCTGGCCGCTCCCGCGACGCCCACCGACTACCATCACCGACGACTCGAAGCCACGGCGCTAAATCGACGACGTCAGCCGACAGCGTCAACCGAAGACGCTGATCGACGACGCCAACTGGCGGCGCTAACCGACGACTCAGAATCGACGACGTTAATCAACGACGCCAACCGACGACGCCAACCGTCAATAGTAATTAGCCGACGACGTCAACCGGCGACGTTCACCGACGACATTCAGCCGACGACGCCAGCCGGCAAATCGCCCTGCGCCGAAGGGCACGACGCTAACCGACAATGCGAACGTGAAACTGACGGGCGCTGTAAATTCACAAGCAAAATGCATCAAATATCGGCGTCGAGAGTTAACGCTGTAGGCTCGTGTCGCCCCCGGCGGGACGCGGCATGGGCCACGTTGACCGGAGCCGCGCGACTCTAAAAGCCTGTGGTCCAATGGCGAGGGGAACCCAGCCTGGCCCAGACCAGCCCGGCAGGGAGGGAGGGAGAGGACCCCCTCCTCCTCCCTGCTCCCCCTCCCTCCCTGCATCCCTCCCTCCCTCCCAGAGGTCCCCTTCCCCTCCCTCCCTGCCTCCCTCCCTCCCTTCCTCCCTCCCTCCCTGGCTCCCTCCCTCCCTCCCTCCTCCCTGCTCCCCCTCCCAGGAGGCCAGGGGATGCTCTCGGCGCGGCGCTGCGCAACGGTGGGCTCCATAGGTCCCCGCCCCCAACCACCAACCGACCTCCTCGGCCACCGAAGGGCCGAGCGGACCACGATCCACAGCGGGAGACGTCCCCGATCGGAGGTGGGAGGAGGGAGCGGAGGAAGAGGCGGAAGAGGAGGACGAGGAGGAGGAGGAGGAGGAGGAGGACGAGGAGGATGTGGAGGAGGAGGACGAGGATGGGGGGTACCGAGGCGGGCGTGACGCCCACATGCGAACGGTGCCTCTGGGGGGGGGGGGCGGAAGGAGCACGACGCCCACATGCCACCAGTGCCACTGGGGCACTCGGTGGAGCTCCCTACATGGCCACGAGACTGGCGAGGGGTGTGTCGAAATGGGCATGCAGATCAGGAAGAGGCCGGTATGGGAGGCGAGGGAGGAGGAGGGGCAGGATGAGAGGAGGAGAGAATGGGACGCGGGGCGCTGCCTCTTCCAAACCAGGACCCAACACCGCAGGATGGTTGGGAGTAAAACTCCGTTCTCACGACGCGAGGAGGTCTGCGGCCGAAGACGACAAGAGGGCCGGGCGCCGGCCGGCCTTGTGGATGCCCTCGGCGATCATGTCCATCAGGTCCAGCACGCCCTGGCTCGCTACGTCCTGGGCACGCGCTCGGGCCAGGGCCAAGCAGCGCTCTAGCGCTGCGCCTAGCAGGATCCCCAAACGAGCGTGTGGTGGTGCGACAGGGAGGACTACCTACAAGGACGACGAAGGACTGAGGAGAGGGCAGGAAGGGATAGTAGGGGGATACGAAGAGGGGCATCAGGAGGCGGAGGAGGAGGAGGAGGAGAAAGGGGGAGGAGGAGGAGGAGGAGGAGGAGGAGGAGGAGGAGGAGGAGGAGGAGGAGGAGGAGGAGGGTGGAAGATGGAGAAGAGGAGGTCAGAGGAGCAGGCGGAGGAGGAGGAGGAGGAGGAGGAGGAGGAGGAGGAGGAGTAGGAGGATGAGGGTGGGTGGGGACGAGGGGAAGGCAGGAGGGGAGGGGAGGGGACCGGGATCAGGGGGACCATAATGACGAGGAGGACGAGGGTGGAGGAGGCGGAGGGGACGAGGGTGGAGGAGGCGGAGGAGGGAGGCGGAGAGGGGGCGGAGGAAATCAGATGTTGAGCGCACCGTGCCTCGGGGCGCGGTTCAAGCTCCGAGTACCGAGACCGCGGCCGCGCGGCGCGGGAGGCACAGGCACCTTTCAGAAGCCTTCAGGTGCTGCAGGAGCGTGTAGAAGTCAGATGATGATGAGGAGGAGGAGGGGCAGGCAGAAGGGGAGAGCAGGGAAAAGGAGGAGAGGGGTGAGGAGGAGGAGGAGGAGGAGGAGGAGGAGGAGGAGGAGGAGCACGAGGAGCGTTGACAGAATGGGCATCCACGGTGTCCAACAACACCTCTTGTCCCAAGCCGACCGCCGGCCCCGACTCGGGAGGCCTGTTGTGGCCAGCCCGGGCTACCTGAGGGGGAGGGGCGAGAGGCTGTCTGCGCGCAGCCCGGAGCCCGAAGCCGTAATTGCATCCGTCACCGTGCCGTGAGGCACGGGTTGGAGTGCCCCCAGGTCCCTTGTCAGAGTGAGGGGGCCGACCGGCCATTCACTGTCCCTGGGCGCGTGGCTGAAGTGAGGTTCTGCGGTGCGGGTTGTTGTTGTTGGCGGTGTTGTTGTTGCTGCTGCTTGTTGTTGTTGTTGTTGTTGTTGTTGTTGTTGCTGCTACTGTTGGTGCTGTTGGTGGTGGTGGTGTTGCTGTTGTTGATGTTGTTGGTTTTGTTGAACTCTCACAACTGAAGAATAATTAATGCTGATCCCTTCCCCTCGGGTAACCAATGTGGCTTCTCAATTGAAGTGCCTCTCCTGGGGCTCGCGCCTAGTTTTACATTAGGGAAGGTTTTCCTACTCAAACTGCGTTGTTGGCCCCAAGACTACAACAACAACACTCATGTTAAGACTGTTCGCTCTAACTGGCACGCGTGTCTTGCATTCCGTATACCCCAACCCTCGATACCCGCCCACTTCGTCTTCGATTGCACCCCTTTTCGGGGGGAATCTCTTCCTCGTCGGCCACTGACTGAAGTGCGAAGAAGTCTCGAGCGAGAGCGCCGTTCCTGACATCGGGGGCCTCTCTGGCCAAGGGCTCTCGGAATACCTATTGACAAATATCGAACGGGAGCCCTTGTCGCCGTGTCCGGGCCTCCACCAAATTGACTGAATTAGAGGAGGGTCTCGAGCAAGAGCGCCGTTCCTGAGTGCGGGGGCCTTCTTGGCCAAGGGCTCTCGGAGTAAATCGTAAAGGAGTAACTATCGAGCAGGAGCCCTTGTCGTCGTGGCTGGGCTTCCGCCAACTTAATTGAATTGCAAGGACATCTCGAGCGAGAGCGCCGCTCCTGAGTTCGGGGGCCTCTCTGGCCAGGGTGTTTCGGGGTAAATTGTGAAAAGGTTTCGAGCCAGAGCCGTTGTTGTCGTAGCTGGGCCTCCAAGGGCCCACGTTTAGGCTCAAGCCAACGCCGAGCGGGAGCCTTGGTTTCAGAGAAGATGTCGCCGGCGTAGAGGCGAAAACGCGCGGAACCGTTTCCGGATATCAACAACAGTTATTCTTATTAATGAATATCCAACAACAGCAACAACAACTCCCGCCGGATACTTCTTTGCAATTTGCTGACTAAGCGCGCTATCGCTAATGACTTCCTTGCAATGTATAATCGACTCGCGCTCTCGCCTGCGATTTCCTTAAGTTCATTCAAGCGCCACGCCTTCACCATTCAGGACTCGCGCTCCCACTTGAGACTTCCTCATAATTTGATTACGAATAGCGCTCTCGCCCGGGCGAGTTATGCAGGACTCACGCATTCGCGTAACATACATGTTTTTTCAATGTTAGTGCCCCTCCCGGGGCTCGCTGTGTGTTTATTACCGGGGAAACCCTCCTGCTCAGAATGTGACCGTGGCCCCCCGGCTTACAACAACAACGGCTCCTGCCTGATACTTCCTTCCTCCAATGTATTGATGAATCGCGCTCTCGCTAGGGACATCCTTGCACTTGATCGAAGAATCGGGATCTCGCCTGATGCTTCCTCGCAAACTAACTATTCAGGGTTCGCGCTTTCGAGGCTCAGGAATCGCGCTCTCGCTTCGGACTTTCTCGCAATTGATTCAAGCGTTGCGCCCTTGACGTTCAGGAATCACGCTCCCACTCTGGATTCCCGCACGAGATTTATTTGGAATCGCGCTGCCGCTCAAGTCTTCCTCGCGATCCATGCAGGACGCACGCTTCAGCAACCCGACTGCTCGACCTGGCCGCCTGGGCCCGCCTGATAAGGTACACCCACCCGACCTGCCCGTCTGGTTCTGCCACGTGATTTCTTCTCCTGGCCCCCCTCCTGCTACTCGCTCTTGTGCTCGATCCTCCTCTCTCCCCCTTGTCCCCTTTTTCTATCCGTTTCCCCTGCCTTAGGTGCTGCACGGTATATATATATATATATATATATATATATATGTATTGCAGGCGAGAAAGATATAACTACCCCCAATGGGATACGATCGAGGACGTAGAGGGTGAGTATCGAGGGTTTGCAAGGTACGTGTTGAACGGCACGCGAGCAGATAAGAGCGAACAATCTTAAACTGTGTGTTGGTGTTGTTATTGGTGTTGTTGTTGTTCTAGTTGCTTTTGTTGCTGTTGTTTTTTGTTGTTTGTTGTTGCTGTTGTTGTAGTTGTTGAAGGTTGATGTTGATGTTGTTGTTGTTGTTGTTGGTGGTGGTGGTGTTGTTGTTTGTTGCTTGTTGTCGTCCCCCCCGCGACCCGGCCCGCGAACCGCCCGCGACCCACGCGCGACCCACCCGCGGCCCAGCCCGCGACCCACACGCGACCCACCCGCGGCCCGGCCCGCGACCCACCCGCGACCCACCCGCCGCCCGCCCGCGACCCAGCCGCGAAAAAAACCGACTCCGTAGGCTCAATCGCCTCCAAGACGGCCAAGATGGCCTCTCTCGAAGTCGGTCAAGATGGCCCCAAGAGAACCCCAATCTGGCCTCCAAGGCGGTCCCAAGATGCCTCCAAGACCGCCAGGGTGGTCCAAGAGATCCCCAAACGGCCTAAGAGGCCGCTAAGACGGCCCAAGAGGCCTCCAAGAGATCCTCCAGGAAGTCCTGAACAGGCCAAAAATACTGCTTCTCCCTAAGTGAATGAAAGGTTTGGCGTCTGTTTCGCAACGGCTTTCTGACGGCCCAGGACGGGCCAAAAGGCCCCCAATATTGCGTCAAGATCGCCCAGGAGGCCTCCAAGACAGCCCCAGGACGGCCCAGACGGCCCAACAGGCCTCCAAGACGCCCCACATGGCATTCAAGACGAACCTGAAGCGCCCCGAGAGGGCCCCAAGAGGGCCCCAAGACAGCCCAAAGAGGTTCCCAAGACGGCTTCCGACGGCGTCAGACGGGGTCAGGAACGGCGTACGACTGTCAACGAGGCCACGAAGAAGCCCCCAAAGGCACCAGAGAAGCCCAAGGAGGCCTCCAGGGAGGCCGACCCCCAAGAGGCCTCCAAGAGGCCCCCAGGAAGCTCCCAGGAGGTCCCAAGAATGACCCAAGGAGTTCCCAAGGCGTCTCCTCATCTTCTTTTTGTCTTCCTCTCCTCATCCTCCTCTTCCTCCCCCCACGTGTTCCCCGAAGGGTTTCCACAACGGCTGGGGGAACGCATGGTCCAATGACGCGGTAAGCTTTGCCCAAACGTTTGGCCACGTAGGCGTATCCTAAATGGCAGGGTGCGGCAGTGATTCGCCGCACAATCATGCTTGATTGGAGAGGACACGCGAGAGGATACAAGACCCTCTCAAGGGCCACATTGCCATAGAAATGTAGTGTAGAAGGTATGGGTCTCGAAACACAGGCGGCAAGGGTACCCTTGATGTGGTAGTGGCGACCTACTCATCAATCACGACTGTCGGCGTCTTCGATCCGCCACCCACTGTGGCTTTCCACAGGGGTGCATGGCTTGCTGGATGTTTGGTTGACGTCGGAGATACACGTAGCACCCAGCAGCTGTAGATAAGAGTGAGAGGGCAGCGGGGACGTCGGCAGTTTGCGAGGCTCTGAAACATCCCGCCGCAAGCGCCGACATTTCGTCAAGGCAATGTGGGTGGGTCGCGGGCCAGGTCGCGGGTGGGTCGCGGACCATGTCGTGGATCGCGGATGGGTCGCGGGCGGGTTGCGGGTGGGTCGCGGGTGGGTCGCGGGCGTGTCGCGGGGGTGGGTCGCGGGTGGGTCGCGGGGAGGGTCGGGGGTTTGTCGCGGGGGACGACGACATCACACAACAAACAACAAACAACAAACACAACAACAACAACAACAACAACAACAACAACAACAACAACAACAATCACTTTACCCGAACGCTCAGTGTTCTCACCAGTGCCAGGGTTTTCATGCGACGCCAGCCAATACCCCCACTTTGTGGGGGGGCAGTGCAAGCTCTACCAAATATCCACACGACTCTTCGCCACCACCCACACCCAGCTTCCCGCCCTATGACGTTCGGACACTTCACTTCGTGGCCTGCGGACGACCGTGGCTACTACACTGGCGTGGAGTACACACCCACAGAAGTTGTTAGGACAGCGCGCGCGGGTAGAA